TAGAGAGCTTTGAGCATGTGTTTTTTTGCACTGTACTTATTATCTTGCTACACATTCCACACTTATTGATTCCTTGTTGAAAGAGCAAGCAGGGAAATCTGATGAATGCAAAATTATTTTTTTATTATCTACTCGGAACCAAATTGTGATTGAAACTGTGGCCAGATTTGTGTACCTTGCAGCTAGGAGGCGAGCAATGTATCAGCGGGCAGGGCATTGACTGTTCAGACTGTTTCCTCCCCGTTATAATTCGGTTGTTATGCCAATAACGGATGTTTGTTTGTTATGATGCTGAGGTATTATCCCATACACAACTGGGCCTTAAACACCTCTTGTCCCCTTTTGTGCCTTATTGTGATTCCAGCATACTGTCTGTTAATTATGAATAATCAAAAATCACTGTCTTTTCAAAGACCTGGAGACATTTTTGTTGGTGAGTCAAGGGCAATGTTATTGAATAAGTCAGACAGTTTAGATGTTTGGGTACAAATTTTCAATACAATAAATAGATGAACAACTCAACAGAGATATGCAATTAATTTGGTCAACTGAAATGTATCTGCAGTGGCATGCTTCTTTTGTGTTCAGGGTGGCCAATATGTACCTGCAGCCATTTGGATATTTAATGCTAAGCCCACAGCTCAGCTATTATATGAGATCCCCATTTGGGTTAGTGCATTTAACCAGCTTGTTGAGAAGATCCAAGCTTCCTTCATGTATTTAGAGACTGGGCTGAGTCTCTCAGAAATAAGAGCCTGGCTTCAAAACTTGAAATTTTGGTTGTGCATCCACTTCATATCTGAGTACCCTGGTTTTGTCCATATTATGTTGTCTGACTCCTCCCACCTCAGAGGGTGTCTGTTGTGGGGAGGGGAAGGGAAAGGAGTTTGTAAGCTGCTCTGAAACGCCAAGTGAAGGGCGGGGTATAAATCCAATCTCCTCCTCCTCCTTTTCAAGCAATTGGTCGTGCCTGACTTAGTTTGATTTTTACACAAAGTCAGGCACGACCAATTGCTTGAAAAGGAGGAGGAGGAGATTGGATTTATACCCCGCCCTTCACAAAGAAGACTAAGTAGACCCCCGAAGCCTATTGGGCCTCCGGAACTGGCTCTATTGCTCCAGTGTCCAGTAGATGCTGTATGGCCTGAAGAAGGCGCTTCCTTGGGACTTGTATAAATCTGCTAGGTGGAGTGGAGTACAGTTCCAAAGAGTAGCCATTTGCGACCGTATCCAGAACCCACCTGTCGCCCATGGTCAACTTGACTCCTATTGGGTTGCAAACATTTGAAGACATCCTCCTATAACTAGTGGATCTGAGTCCCTGTAGTTGTCATGCCAAGGTGTTCTTTTTGGAACCCCATGTGGTCTGGCCTGATGGCCTGTAAAAGGATGAGCTAGTGCTACATGACTGTTTGGGCAGCCATCTCCCTTTGGTGGGCTTTGAAGGTCGGAAACCAAAGGTGCACTTGGGCTCACAAAAGGAATGAAAGCATTTCTTGAGCTTGTGTTCCATCTTGCACAGGAGCAAAGACCTCTTTTTATCTTTGTCTTCAACCAGGTATCTATCCATTTCTTCAACAAAAAGATGAATGCCCTTAAATGGAACGCTAGCCACCTGAGCTTAGGAAGATGGATACACCTTCCAGTTGCAGAGCCAGGTGTTCTGTCAGTAATGTTGGTGCCATAGCTCTGACCAATAGCTTTATTCGTAACATTTGTGCCATAGCTCTGACCAACAGTTGTATCACGTCCAGCAATATGTCCACAGAAAAGGCCTCTGCAAGGACCAGCTTCTTAAGTTCATCCTTGAGCTCCTTGGAGATACCTCTCCCTGCTGCTGAAAGGTCTGAGGCCCAGGAATAGACTGCCCTTGAAAAGAATGAGTTTGCTGTGGAGGACCCGAGAGCAGTTGATGAAGCTTCAAAATTCTTGTGCAAGAATTGTTTGATCCTTCTGTCGCCCTGAGAGCAGTTGATGAAGAATTGTTGTGCAAGAATTGTTTGATCCTTCTGTCACAGGGGTCTCTTGGAAGACCATCCGCCTCCGTGGTAATGACTGAGTTGGAACTCAGGCTGGTGACTGAATTGTTAACTAACGGAACTTTGAAGCGCTCAGTTGCGTCTGCTACCAAGGAGTAGAAACAAGAAATAATGGGATGGTTGGACTTGGATCTCACTGGCATCTCCCACTCAGTGTTGACTTCCTTGTCGAAGACAGAAGGAAAGGGGATCCCAAGGGGGGAAGACCCCCCCTTGTGGAAAAGCTCTGGCTGAGCTAGCAGGTCTGTTTGGATCAGATGCTTCCACCTCCTTGTCATTAAAAGGAGCTTCCAGGATATGTCGAACCTTTGGAAGGAGCTTAGTGAATGGGAAAAGACGGGTCTGCATGGTGATACCCAGGGGTTCTTCCTCATTTTAGAATTCTCCCTCCTCTCTTAGAGAGGAAGAATCAGAAGAGTCAGACTCATTGGAATCATGGTCTAACAGAGGACTTATATCTCTACTGAGATATCTATCAGAGTAGGTTACTTTACTTTTTTAGAATGAGAGGAGTGAGGGGGAATTTCTACCCTACCCTCTTACACCAGCCTCTATGCTGGAGGGTGAGTATCTTCCAGACCTGATGGGTCCCTTAAACTAGGAAGAGCCTCAGACAGGGCTGCTCTAATCTCTTTAGGCATTTCACCCTTAATGCAAGATAGGAGGTTGGCCTGTGCATTATTCCCTGAGAGATCTAAGTTAGGGGTTCCTGTCAGTTTGGACCCATTTAGTGAACCCTGTATGGAAGCAGGGGAGGGCAAGGAGGGAAGCTCAAGGCAGGAGGCCAACTGAAAGTCCCGTGCATGCCAGCATTTCCTGCCTTTTTGGGGGGGAACCCACCAGAGACATCTAAATAAAGCCCCCCCGTCTTACCACGTTTTAGTAGAAAGGCTGGAAAAGAGTGGACAGCGAACCGCTGCAGCTTGCTGAATCCAGCTGGCCTGGCGGATACCTCATAGCAGGGCCGGCTCCAGGGTTTTTTGTACTCAAGGTGAGACCACCTTCTGCCCCCCACGCTCACCCACCAATTATGGGGTTGCCAACCTCCAGGCAGGGCCTGGAGAGAAGGAAGTCCAGCTGCTGAGCGTGTGCCCCCCTCCACACCCATAGGTAGCAAGGTAACCACACAGTGGTCTGTGCCCATGTGCGGTTCTGGGACTTGCCATCCCATGTTGCTCTTCCGGTAGGCAAGCTATCTGGCTGGTTGGTGCCATTGGCTAATAAGGAAGGTCACTTGATGCTGGATCTGTGCCCTATGCTGTGCCAATGCTCTTCTGGATGTGTTCAGTAAAAGTAGTGGCCTGTTTTCTCTCCAGTGATGTTGTTCACTTTGTTTATCCCTCTTGGAGCTTCACTCCCTCCCCTGCCCCTAGGACAACAAGCAAAATGTTCTGAACCCCAGAAATGATTTGAAGGAGCAGCCACTCATCCTTCAGTCTGCCTTTCAAAAAAACATAGATTATAATTCAAAAGATTTTAAAGACCTAACTCAGAACAATAGAAAAGAGTACTGCAAAAAGCTACCATCAACTGATTAGAGTGAAGATGATGGGAGGCTAAAGGAGACAGCGGTGTTCCTAGAGGTGATAGTTCAAGAGGGTTTTTTTTACAAGTATGCCTTTACTAAGATGAGAAAGCATAACCAATCTGTTGTGGAGCGTCACCAGAGAAAATAAAAAATAGGGCTAAAAGCTATAAGCCGCTGCTTGAAAACTGCCAGAGAGAAAGGGCCTTGTAGACTGATTGTCAACAATTCTGTAATAATACATATAATAGTGTGGTCATAGCATCAGAAGGTAGACATTCCACATTCTTGTTTACATTTTAGAAATAAATTTGAGCAACTGAGGGAAAATATTTGGGGGGAAATAGTTGATATAAGTCCACTGGATTCACATACTATTCTAGATGTTCAATTGAATTTAGGGTTTCAAAAGAATACTTCAATTGCAGGGACATAGAATATGGAAATAAAATTTGTAATAAGCATGTAGGGGCTTGCAAAGATTCTTTATCATGAACTAGCTCAAAAGCTATTTACTTGCTTAGCTTTAGGTTGTCAAACTCAATGGCTCGTTTGCCATGTTGTTCTATGGAAATTCCAGAGGAGGGGGGGATTGTGAATGTGTGAGAGTGAGAATGGCTTTATTGTAGGGCAATGCATCTCATGTAACTTTCTGAAGACACCTCCCTTTCCCGGGGATGTCGGCCAGGCCAGATGGCCTTCGTCTGTGTCTGTGCTTACTGCCTTAGTTTAGATAACGAATGGGTGATTTACAGGTGGGGGATTGGCAGGGCGCTGGTTAGACAGGAATGAATGGGCAGTGTGATTGGAGGGGACTACATTTGAACCATGATTGGGGGGGTCTTGCACCAGAACCTCAGTTCTGACTCAACAATGTTCTTAGCTTGGAAAATCTTTATTCTTCAATAAACAAATCACTTTCAGTGAGTGTTGTTGAGAGTAACTTTGTCCAAGAGTCTGACATAGGTTTTGTTTCTATGTAGAATCAGACATTATATGTTTTGTTACAAATAGTATATAATATAATCCTGGCTACATAAAATGTCGAGAGACTATGATTACTATTCTAAAACATTCATGGCTTCAAAGAATCGCTTCAGCTTGTGGAATTCCATGGGAAAGAGCCAGTCTGAGCAGACTTCCACTGGCATACAGCATGCCAGCTGGGACAAAAACGTGTGCATGTTTGTGGTATGCGTACAACTGATTCACAGCAAGGGCTGAAGCAGCTAAAATTATGCACAATCGGGCTTTTATATGAAAAATTGTGTAAAGAAGTTCATGATTAAGAGGTCACACTGATTTTCAAGAGAAAGTTCTTAGGGATTAGCCATAACCAAAGAGCAATACATGCAAAATAAAAAAGTTTCCTGAGCAGAGAGAATACGGAAATGGATTCTTGAGAAAACTATTAAAAGTGAAACCAATGTGCTAACCTCTGCATTGTTGTAAAAAGCTGTGCTGTTTTTTTCTTGCACATCTTCTCCTCGTGCTGTGAAGAAAGTCAGAGGGTAGAAATCTTTGTGTGCTGGCTGTTTCCCACTTGCCATCAATTTGCCCTCATAGAAAAGTTCAGATGTATAACTGCAATAAAGTCAGACACAAAGGAAAATGTGGCATCCACGTATAAAATCAAATACAAGGTCAAAAAAGGGATTTAAAAAACATAACATAAAACATATCTTGTTGCCATTGGGGGGACAGGGCATGTGAACCAAAAAAAGGAAGGCTCTTCCACAGTAGCAGCATGAGAGAAACAGGAAGAATCAGGCAGGCAGGCAAGGCCCATTCCTCAATAAGTAAGGCCCACTCCTCCCTGACCATTCCATCCCTGTGCCATACATACACACTCCAGATGGATAAAGAGAACCATTCTTTCACTGTCTTCCTTGTGAACTTATATCTCCCAGTGGGGAAGGGGGAGGTTAAGAACCGATGCTAAGCAACAACCTTGAAGCAGACAAAGAGCATGTAGAGCAACTGGAAGAGCAAGTCTTTTTTCACAAATGATGTTCCACATATAAATTATGAAGAACATTTTATCTTTATCCACAGAGGAAAATTCTGTTATCCGTTTTGGAATACTCATATAACTTTTGAATAAAGTAATCAAGGCTCACGAATTTAGGACTGATAGTACAATGGGACCAAACAGACATTTGGCAAGGGCCTTTGTAAAAAGGAATATCTGAAATTGTCCCATGCAAGAGGCGTAACAGTGAAGCCAGGACAGGAGATGAAGTGTGGAATGAACACATGCTTTTTAGCTTTTACACACATTAACATCAATCCTGATGAGAATTTCTGAAACTTTCCAGATATTTTCTGTCACTTCAAAATCAAAATCACTTAACTGTCAGAATATATGTTGACTTCTGAGCACATTTTACATTCAAAGTATAGCTTTCCCACAGTCCTTAACTTAGTTTAATTGCAGCTCATTTTTTAGCTAAGAAAGTAAGATCTTAACATGCCCATTAGAGTTCATGAAAACAGGAAGGTGACCATATTAGGAAGACTGATTCACTTTATCTACAGAACATTCTTGAATACTGCCAGTTAAGGATGATTCTAAGGCACGTATACCATAATTCTGGCAATGTGAATGATCAAATGTGCAAGCCAGGACAAACGTAAAAAGATTAGCAAGGCATGAAAGGCCTTGTTATGGGCGGCTCTTAATACATACGGTCCTTGCTCTTTCTACTTCTAGAAATTTACAATGTGAAACTACATTTTATAAACATCAAGGAATATGTTCACATTACACATACTATCACCAAGCTTCACAGTGAGTTCAACAATTACACTTTTGCAATAGATAAATATAATCTGATTAAAACTGACTTTATGAAGTATAAAATACTTTATGGAAGTATTAAAGGGAGGGGGACTTTATATTTTTGCCATGATTGCATTGATCTATTTTAGCAAGATGTGAGTACAGTACAAAAGCAACCGTTAGTTCAACAAGGCATAATAAGGCATGCTTTAAACAAATCACTTCAAAGAACATGAACATTTTGCACAAAATCTGGCCTATATAATTTTTTATACCTGTGTAGCCATGAAATTATTTATATTAACAATTATTTTTCATTACCGTTTTGCTTTCTAAAATAGTCCAAGAGCATAAATAATAAAATATGAATTAAGATTCCATTTATGTTCATTTTAAAAATGACTATATTGATTATACAAAGGCAACATTTCTCAAAACAATTGCTTTCACATAATTTCACTCATGTTAACAAAGCTTTTCAGAAAAAGAGTTGTAAGGGCAACTGTTTCACAGCATATCTGTCTGGTACATTTTTACCCTGTTCCTTCTCCAAGGAGCTCCAGGTGGCATATGTGGTTTTTCACTCCTCCACTTTGGCCTTACAACAACCCCATGAGGTAGACTGGTGACTCAGAGAATTCTACCACAAGGATTTGAATATGACACTCCAGATGAGGCTAACAGGAACAGAGTGTGAGCACTAGCAATGCCTCGCCTGTTGAACTCTTGGCAGAATATCCTCGCTATCCACTCATGTGACACACACCTAAACACCCTCTGGTGTCAGCTATGAAAGAAAGGAAGAGGACTGATTCCTCATTGTTGCCACCTGGACCAGAGACAGTGGGACACCCTTCCAGCATCCGGTCTGGTTCAAATTTTGGTGGCCAATAGCCACACTATGGAACGGTGCCGCCTTCAGATAAGAACTGAGGACAGGACTGCCCCAAACTCTGCTGGAGATACTGTATAGTTAAAGACCAACTACATAAGAACATAAGAGGCCGTGTCGGGCTGGGCGCTGGAATACCCCAGGCTGTTGGTTCTGGGGGACTTCAATGTCCATGCCGACGATGCGACCTCCTCCCGATCGGTGGACCTAGCTTCGTCCATGGCGGCGCTGGGACTCTCCCAATATGTAACAGCCCCCACTCATCAGGCCGGTCACACGCTTGATTTGATCTTTGCGGCTGGGATTACAGTGGACCGGATTACTGCTACGGCAGTTCCATGGTCAGACCACTGCGCCCTGAGGGCCCGAGTGAACGTGTCACCCCAACCCTGTTTGGGCGGTGAGCCGATTTTAGCTCGCCCGCGGAGCCAGATGGACCCAGTGCGGCTTCAGATGGCTCTCCGGGATCCATTTCCCCCTGGTGACTCGTTAGATGAGCTAGTGGAGGATTGGAACAACCGACTCTCGGCAGCCATCGACGAGATCACTCCCAGACGCCCTCTGTGCCCTCGATCTAGGCTGGCACCCTGGTATACCCAGGGGCTGAGGCTGATGAAGCGAGGGCTCAGACGACTGGAGAGACAGTGGCAGCGGGTTCGTGACGAAGCGATAAGAGCATCCTATCAAACGTTTATGAAGTTGTATGAGATGGCAACCAAGGCCACGAAGAAGGAGTTCTACACAGCCGAGATTGCATCTGCAAACTCGCGCCCAGCACAACTGTATAGAATGATTCAGTCTTTAACTACCCTGCCACAGAGCAGACAAAATGCTAAGGAATTGGATATAGGCTGTGAGGCTTTCGCGAGTTATTTTGCAGATAAAGTCTTGTTGCTCCGCCACGACCTCCCAGCCACATTTGAGACAGTATGTGAACTCGAGGCTCCAAGCACGTCTTCTGGTTCCATTCTGGATTGTTTTGGCCCTCTCAGCCTAGAGGAAGTCAACAGATTGGTCTCAACTGTGCGCCCAACCACTTGCAGCCTTGATCCGTGCCCCTCTTGGCTAATGAAAGCTGGCCGAGAGGGGTTTTGAGGTTCCCTTTGGGATATTGTCAACAGGTCCCTGTCTGAGGGCCTATTTCCAGGGGCTCCCAAGGAAGCGACGGTCCACCCCCTCTTTAAAAAAACCATCCTTGGATTCGGCCGAATTGGCCAACTATTGGCCGGTTTCCAACTTGCCCTATTTGGGCAAATTAATAGAGAGGGCGGTGGCGATACAGTTGCAGGCCTTCCTGGATGACACTTCCACGCTAGACCCGTTCCAGTCTGGCTTCCACCCGGGCCATGTGACTGAGACACCACTGGTCGCCCTCACAGATGATCTCCGAAGGCACCTGTGTCGGGGCAGGACGGCAGTGCTCCTGTTGTTAGACCTGTCAGTGGCGTTCGACATGGTCGATCACCAGTTGCTCGCCCACTGCCTCGCCGACGTGGGGATTCGGGGGCTCGCCCTGCAATGGCTTGTCTCCTTTCTCCAAGGTCGTGGACAAAGGGTGGCGCTTGGGGAGGAGCTGTCCCGAAGACACCCACTAGTCTGTGGGGTGCCCCAAGGTGCAGTTCTCTCCCCAATGTTATTTAACATCTATATGCGCCCCCTTGCCCAGATTGCCCGGAGACATGGGCTAGGGTGTCATCAATATGCGGATGACACTCAGCTCTATCTGCTGTTGGGCGGTCAGTCTGGCTCTACCCCGGAAGATCTGGACCAAGCGTTGCGGGACGTAGCGGGCTGGCTTAGGCTGAGTCGACTGAAACTGAATCCGACGAAGACGGAGGTCCTATACCTGAATTGGAGTGGTACGGGGTTAGAGGTCCCTCTTCCGGCCTTCAGTGGGGCGCCATTGGTGCCAGCTCTGAGGGCCAGGAGTTTGGGAGTGCTCCTGGATGCTTCCCTGACAATGGAGGTCCAGGTAGCAGCCACTGCCAAGGCAGCCTTTTACCACCTGCGGCTGATTAGGCAGTTGGTCCCCTTCCTTGAACGCAACGATCTGAGATTAGTGATCCATGCTATGGCCACCTCGAGGCTGGATTACTGCAATGCTCTCTACATGGGGCTGCCCTTGGGGCAACTCCGGAAGCTGCAGCTGGTGCAGAATGCCACGGCCAGGTTGTTGATGGGTCTCCCCATGAGGGAACACATCCAACCTGTGCTGAGGTCGCTGCACTGGCTGCCAATAGCGTCCCAGATACGCTTCAAGGTGCCTGTCTACCTGAGGGACCACCTTTCCCCGTATGTTCCCCTGAAGGCACTGAGATCCGAGACAAAAAATCGCCTGGTCCCCCCTGGCCCTAGGGATGCTAAGTTAACAGCAACAAGAACCAGGGCGTTCTTCCTAGCTGCACCGACGCTATGGAACCAGCTCCCAAATGAAATTCAAGCTCTGCGGGATCTTCAACAATTCCATAGAGTGGTGAAGACCGAGCTGTTCCGACAAGCATTCTAACAGTCCTGGCCACACTGACCGTCCCACATAAGCACTAGCACTTTATAACAGATGGCCGCCACATTCTAATTTTAATAAGTTGTATTTATTGTATTGTTTTGTATTGTTTTAGATGTGACAATCGGTATTAATTGTCTACTGGTTTTAACCATTGTAAGCCGCCCTGAGCCGCCTCAGTGGGAGGGCTGGGTAAAAGTCTAATAAATAAATAAATATACATATATGTGGGAAGCCACAAGGAATTGGGGGAAGCATCTCATCCCCCCCCCACAAACACACACTATTTCCTTTTTCCCTTTCCTGAAAGCCCCCAGAGCCTCTCTGCCCCTTTCCTGCTTTCTTCTAGAGTTGCCAACTTCCAGCTGGGTGAATGAAAAATAAACAATAACAACCATGATATAATT